AGGATTATAATTCAGGAATGCAGGTTTGTAAATTGAATTGCCAACTTACCAGCTGAGTGGTAAGTTGTCTTTGGCACAGGATGCCACAGTTTGATTCCTGGCTGGATTTTTACTCCTGTGACATGAATATTAAATAAGGAGAGCCCAGCTACGCTTGTTGAAATTGGCTGTGTTGCAGGTACTTACTTCTAGATATAATGTATGTAAAATAAATAATATTGCCAGAAGTTTCAGAAGATGAATCTCAGCACTTTCTGGAAATTGGAGTCCTTTACAGTGTCACATTGAATTTATCAGAAGCACAAGGCACTTCCGAAAACTTGATCGGCTAAAAAATACTGGGCCTTAAATGCTTACAGTGCTCAGATTTAAGTAGTGTGCAGAGAGAGCATTGGGTGGATGGATTGTGACGGTGGCAGTGCCACACAGTAGGAAGGGTGGGAAACATGGATGGGAAAGGTTGTTCTTATTTTAAGTTATAGCCTGCTGTTGCCCAAAGATAGCTGAGGGTGTCAGTTCTGCTTCCTTGGATGAAACGAGCAGGCTTTTTGATAGGCTGTGAAGATTTTTGAGTTTTGAAGAAGACCTTAAAACGTGAAGTCTGGCTCTTTGTCAGCAAGTATTGTGGCTGGAGGTTAGAACTATGGAACTTGACAGATTTTTAACTTGCAGGCTCTGCTGCAGGATGCTGCAAATGGAGAAATAAAGATGAAAAACAACACCCTAAAGATCCGGCTAAAGCTAATGGAGATGGTAGAAATGAAGATAATTGCCTGGGTGTAGGTGGCTGGTTTGTGTCACGTTGCAGCAGAGAACTGTGTGTCCCAGCCTGCAGCACAGAGGTGGAGGAGAGAGCTCGCGGGAAGGGAGGCCTCTGTCATAGGCAGTGGAAGATTAAAGGGGGTAAAAAATGGTGAAATATTATCAGGTGCAGTCATTCTACGTTTCTGCAGCAGGGGTGTCGAGCATAACCTGCCGACCTGTTGAAAAAGTGGTATCTACCTAATGCTGCTGTGCACGTTGTCTTACAACCAACGTTTGTTCTAGGTGTGCTTGACAGCAAACAGGAAGGTGCAAGTAAAACCTCAAATTTTCCTAAAGAAAAGACTGTGTTTTCCTGTGTGGAAAATGCAGGATTTTTGTGACGTTTAGGGAAAGTATGAGGTGTGCTCTGTGACGTGGCTGCAAAGGCTGCTGTGTAGAGAGAAACCCAATCTCCTGAGAGTTTGGGACTCGCCTTTTCTGAGCTATCAATGATGACCCCCAGAACAAAGCACTAAGCCTTTTGTAAGGGGCAGAATTTGAAATGCAGACAGTCTTTTTGCATTAGTCCCTGAAATAACTAAAGAGAAAAGATTTGAGATGTGTGCATGGACATGTAGGAAATAGAGGTAAAACTGTGGTGAAGCCAATGGTAACTTGAGGTTTTCTTTCTTCTCCAATGCTTGTTAAGAGGGAATCAGTTTTATGATGTGAAGGTGGTGATAGCTTGTTGTGACAAAATGCTAAGCAATTTGAAGAATGCTGCAACACTTTGTCGAATTTTAAAGGCACGGCCAGTTAACTCAGTGGGAGTCAAATAAATACATAAAGCATTTGGACTGATTTGGGTAAAATTGTCTAATGGGTTAGGAGATTAAAAATAAAATTATTCCGCACCTGTCTAAAAGGGAAAGTGTAAGAAAGGGAGGTGTTTCTAAAAGATCCATACAGTTAATTTGTAGGATTGCAGACTTGACAGTTTATGTCTGTCTTGTCAGTAGGCATAAATATGTATGGTGAATGAATGAATTGCAACGAGATTCTTATGTGGTTGGGAAACGTACGGGTTTTCTTATCTTTTCCATCCTCTTCCGGTGGGAGGAGAGGGGAAGGAGGTGAGGGAAAGCTGGGAGCAAGTTGACCTGTGCCTTTGCTGTCAGTTTTCAACAGGATTGCAATGCAAGTTGCAACAAGGCCAGTGTTTGCATCCCAAGGTTTTAAAATGCTGCTCTTGCATGGAAATCTTACTGCTGCTATCTCATCATGCCATGTACTCTCTCTCTCTCTCCTGGTTTGCATGGTATAGATGTAGTTTTGGGATTACTGGCGCTCCTCGCCCAGGACTTGAGGGAGATGGCAGCATGTATGTGAAAACAAAAAGCAGCAAAACATACTTTCATGTTCAACTTTCAGTTTCTAATCTCTCAGATATTTCTTGGGATTACAAAGAGGTGATGTCAAAATGGAAAAGCTTCATACACAGGGGTACTTGGCACCTGCAAACTTGGGCTTGGTTTTGCACTACGTTTCACTGTAGTGTGAGTAATACAATCTGATTATAAAGGCAATAATTTCCTTTTCATTTAACTTTTTTCTCCCCACACGCGTTTTGGACCTCAAGTAATTGATGATGCCCTCACCAGTTTCTGGCTTTGGTTTGATTACCCCATCAAAGTATTTCTGTGCTTTAGAGCTGTGTGCTGTAGGAAAGCCTTCTGCCACTAGAAATACTTCAGAGTAACTATTAAAGTAAGGGGTTTTCCTGCCATTTTTGATGGCGTTGCTTTTTCATGTTAATAGCATGTAATACTTTATTTTGTGTTAAATTTCATTAAGCTTGAAAACTAGCCCCTCAAAATACCCATGTATAGGTTTTGGAAGCTTTCAGCAAAGTCTCAGAGCTTGGATTTATGAATGTGTTTGAAAGAATTGAATGGTGTGATGTCCCTATTTAATCAGATGATCACTGCCTAATTGATTTTTTTAGGATGCATTAAAATTCCTTGTGTACTTGATGGACTGGAACAACAACTTATTGTGAAAATAGGATCGTGTTGCTATAATGTGTAGTAAATTCTTTGTGCAAGGTAGTTGTGTGGATGTGTACAATAGCCATTCCTAATAGCTGTTTGAAATGGAGTATTTCAGTACTTTTTCATTTCAGCAGCAGTTGTCTTAAAGCCTTGAGCCTTCTTGCACTAAGTCACTTGCAAGGCTTGAGCTTTGGTCTGTTTTCTCCCTTTTTTGCTATAGAAATACTATGAGATGAAAGGGTGTTAATCACTTGTCCCTTTAACTTTTTAAAAAATTTATATATCTTCTTGATTTGCACAATTAAAATTTGCAAAAATAAACATTGTCAGTGTCCTTATAGTTGTAGGAGTGGAACTGTAAATATTCAGAGAAACCTTTTTTTACTGTACAGATTATTTTGAGGATTAAAGAGAATATGCTGCTTGCTTTTTTTTAAGACTTATGTGGCAGGTTTCAACTTGGAGTAATTTTTTTTTTTTTTAAGGGGCAGAGAAGTTTTAAAACCTCTGGGAATGTGCAGCAAGG